CGGCTCCCCCCGACCCCGGCCGGGCGGTCCCAGGCAGCAGGCCGTGGCTCCGTCTGGGTTCTTAGCCAGGCGCCTCCCTCATCACCATTCCGCGTGCGACCCGGCGCCGGGTTCCTCCCCGGGAGCGAACGACTCCCCGCGTGGAGCCCGAGCTCCCCCAGCGCGGGCAGCGAGGACCCATGGCGAACTCCGGGGCGACCTGCAGACACCGCCCGGGAGAAACCCGTTTAAACAACCCCGGGAGCTCAACGCACGCCTCCCGCCATGCAGCTCGGCACGCTCCCCGGGGGTGTGCCCCAGAGGCCTCTGGGAAATGTAGTTCCCAGCCCAGGACTCCGCGGGGCGGCCAGCGTGCCCGTCCATTTTTCCCAGCATGCAATTCACCGCGGGCCTAACGGAGCCCTGCCCCACGGACCTCTGGGAAATGTCGCACACCTGGGATACCCCTGGCGCCGGGGGAGGGTCGTGCCCATGTGCATGTCGGGCATCTCTAGCACCTCTGACTTGGACGTCACTTTACACGTATGCTAGGCTTGTTAGCAGCTACCTGGCGTGAGCGTTGGTTCCGGTCTGGAGACGTACGAGTGTGCCAGGCACTCGCGTGTGTATCATGGGGCTAGCTGAGGCTGAAGGGGGGCCACCGCGTTGGGACCCTGTTGGCGGAGCGCCTTCTGTGTGTCTGCCTCTCTCACTCACTCATGGGAGAAATAAATAAGTCTTCAAAAAAGCAATACACACGGGAACAGCTGGCGTAATGGCTATGTCGCTTAACTGCCATGTAGTTGACCGCGGTTCGAGTCCCGAACCCGGTGACTTAAACTCACCAGCGGGCACGTGTGTGTGCATGCCCAAGATCCCGAGAAGAGAATGGAGAAGTGGTTGCGGCGTGGCCGTCCCTGCCTTTCTGGCCAGCGCATGCACCCTATAACAAAAACCTCAAAAAACCCCACAAAAACAATCAAGCAATAGTCAGGCCAGCAGGTGGCGTGGTGGTCAAGGCGCTGGATTCTCACGGGCCGATCGCAACTGGAGTCCCTGAGGCTTGAAAATCATGAAGGGTGCAGGAGGAGAAGGGATTGTAGGATGGCTATCCCCCGTGGGAAAGATTTTTCACTTTTCCTCTCTCTGCCTGTCTCTCTCTGGTGAGTGCACACACTCTATGACAAAAACAAAAACAAAACAAAACAACAAAACAAACAAACAAAAAAACAAACAAAAAAAACCAAACCCTAAAACAAACAAAACCCTCCAGGTTTGTAACTTGTCCAGTGCCAAAGCCACCCAGAAAGACGGATTGATTCCCAAGGCCTAAGCTGAGCTAGTGAAGACAGCTGAAGTTGTGCCCCTGACACCAATCCCTAATTTCTCCTGATATAATTTAGTGTAATCACCAAAAGTCATTTTTTCTGGTCTTCAGTCTGCAGGGTAGTGAAATCTGAGTTTTAAGGTGCTTGAAGACTAATTCTGAAAACCATCTGTTGTTCAGCCCACTTGACAGAAATCACAGACGGACATTTTAAAATGACTAGAGTTGCAGCTGTATTACCTCCAGGCTCAAAGCGATGATGAGACTAAACCTGGGAGATTTATCTTAACCTAGGAGCTAAGAGCCTTTGGAGGATCTGTGTGTCCAAATGGCAACTGCTGGAACAGAACCGTTCCTCATACGCTGGTGTGTGACGTGCCAAGTGGAGAGGTAATCGTGTTGCCAGTGAAAACACGTCGACTGCTTTCAGTCCTAAAGTTAGAGCCGCAGCACTGAAGGAACAGGTAACTTTATAACAACTAGTTTCAGGTGACAGTCACCAATTTTGAATATATTATGCGATGATTTCCTCTGGTTTATGTTTTAGTTTTTTGCCATAGGACATGTGTGCTTTACGAAAAGAGACAGAGAAAGGGATGTAAAATATACTGAGAAGTCATAAAATAAAGATTAAATACGTGAGACCAGCAGGTGACGTGACAGGGCGCTGGACTCCCACATGGCTAACCGTGGTTTGAGCCCCAGACCTGGCGGCTTGCTGTTTCACTTTCCCTCTCTTTCTCTCATTCTGTTCCTCTCTGGTCAAATATAAATAAATAAAGTTCAATTAAAAAATGAAATACGTGTCTAGATTGAGAAGGATTCAGATAGCTAGTTTGATTTTAGAGCATGGTGGCCAAATCAGCCCCTCACAGTCCGGTTCCTACTTCATGCCAGCCCGTGTGGAGTTGAGACAAATAATGAACATCTCGTGCTTACGTTCTCCTTGTTTCTCTACTGGCATGGCAGCACACGTCTCAGATCTGTGAAGTATTTAGCTACCGTATTTCTGTTCTTTATAGCAGTGATGAATACATTGGAAGTATACTTAGAATGGCGTGGCGTGTTAATCACAGCAAACACATTTTCTGTAGGTATTTCTAAGTGGGAACTAGTGGTAAGCGGAGAGTCTGGATTATATTACAGTCGTCATTTTCAATGTAGGGACCATCTAATGTTTCTCTGCAGGATCCCGTGGCTCTGATGCCTAATACTCGCCTGTGGAGCAGGTAGACTGGTCGACAGGGAAGTGTCTACAGGGCTGGTCTCGGCACACGCTGTAGTTGGAACTGGGCCAGCTTCTGCCTTTTCTACCATGATGTCTGTCTTCACTGGGTGCCGTTGAAGTCAACAGATTTGATTATCAAACAATGAGGCAAACTTTTATTTTAAGAATTATTTTATTAAACTTTATTAATTTATTTTAATTTGACCAGAGAGGGACAGAGTGAGAGAGAAAGTGAGAAAGCAAGCTGCCAGGTCTGGGACTTGAACTGGGGTTGGTCATGTGGGAGGCCAGTGTGCCCTTCACCACGCCACCCACCGGCCCCTGTAGCCAACTTCTTATTCCTCCTCTTTAGAGGAGTCCCCGGGCAATGGCAGCTGTTGGGTTTAGAAATCTCAATGACCTTGGGTGCAGATTTCTTCATGTCCAGAGGAGGCGGGGTGTGTCCGCTGGCAGCACATGCCTTAGGTGTTCCAGCAGTCACCATCAGCCCAGACGCTCCTGGGACATTGGTGCCTCCTACGTCGATGCTGGGGCCTCCCCATCCCGGTGGGTAGCGTTGTTCCTGCGTATTAATGCCAAATGGAGAAACCAGCATATCACCAAGGGCAGAGATTCGACACTGCTTTGCTGTTTGCTTTGACAAAACCCAAAACCGGAGAGTCCCTACACACCGCATTGCTGTCATTCCCCGGTGTAGGCACAAACCGCAGGTCCAACACACTCGCCGGACGCAGGCCTCCTCCAGGGCCTCCTGAGCCCAGAGCTACCACGACCGCCCTCTCGAGAGCACCATCGTGTGGTTTTACACTCTCCTTTACATTTCAAGTTTATTTAGCTCTTTTTGAATAATCCCAGTTGGCTGTAGGCGAACATCTCAATAATCCACGCTCAAAACAAATCACGAAGGGCAATATTTACACTCAGTACCCTGCAATAATTAATTTATTTTAATTTGACCAGAGAGGGACAGAGTGAGAGAGAAAGTGAGAAAGCAAGCTGCCAGGTCTGGGACTTGAACTGGGGTTGGTCATGTGGGAGGCCAGTGTGCCCTTCACCACGCCACCCACCGGCCCCTGTAGCCAACTTCTTATTCCTCCTCTTTAGAGGAGTCCCCGGGCAATGGCAGCTGTTGGGTTTAGAAATCTCAATGACCTTGGGTGCAGATTTCTTCATGTCCAGAGGAGGCGGGGTGTGTCCGCTGGCAGCACATGCCTTAGGTGTTCCAGCAGTCACCATCAGCCCAGACGCTCCTGGGACATTGGTGCCTCCTACGTCGATGCTGGGGCCTCCCCATCCCGGTGGGTAGCGTTGTTCCTGCGTATTAATGCCAAATGGAGAAACCAGCATATCACCAAGGGCAGAGATTCGACACTGCTTTGCTGTTTGCTTTGACAAAACCCAAAACCGGAGAGTCCCTACACACCGCATTGCTGTCATTCCCCGGTGTAGGCACAAACCGCAGGTCCAACACACTCGCCGGACGCAGGCCTCCTCCAGGGCCTCCTGAGCCCAGAGCTACCACGACCGCCCTCTCGAGAGCACCATCGTGTGGTTTTACACTCTCCTTTACATTTCAAGTTTATTTAGCTCTTTTTGAATAATCCCAGTTGGCTGTAGGCGAACATCTCAATAATCCACGCTCAAAACAAATCACGAAGGGCAATATTTACACTCAGTACCCTGCAATACATAGGACTAACTCGGGTGTATGAACTAGAAAGCTTGCAGTTAGGCAAATACGATGAACCAGATAGAGCCAGGTACCCTAGCCGGGGTCTTGGCACGGCCGGGGGCTCTCGCGCTGGGTACCAGGCAGGTGCCAGCAGCCCGGGTAATCGGGATCCCAGTCTGGGCCCTCCCCTGCGATGGCTCCAGCGTCGGGCACCGGGCTCTACCGCCTGACCCCTGGGGGCCAGAGGAACAGAGTCCGTAATCCGGGCACACTGCCCAGGTGCCCTTCCCGCCCCGCCTGGGCCGTCAGTTACTGAAGCAGTGCGTCTGAGATCCCCGCCGGTCATGGAAGAACCTGAGAAGCAGCAGGTGTTTGTTCACTCCCAGTGGCGTCCGCTGTGGGAACCGGTCAGGGCGCCTGGCTGGAAGCTCCTCGGATCCACCCACACACAGTGTTATCTCGCGTCCTGGCAGGGCGTGGGGGGCCGGTCTTCCTCGGGGCCAGAGCTCGGAACCTCGCTGGGCAGGGCGGGGGCCGGGAGGAACCAGCCCTCTGCAGGGAAGGTGCAGGCGGCCTGGCGGGCCATGGCGTAGAAGGTCTGCACCGCGGCGTGCAGAGGGCCCCGGAGCTGGGCGAGCTCCGCCAGCTGCTCCTCGGTGAGCGGGGTGTGCGCCTGCTGCGCCCACACCTGGGCCATGTCCTGATAAATGGCTTCTGACAGGGTGCGCAGGGAGGTCACCAGGCTTTTCCGAAGCGGCGGCGGGCGGCCTCCTGGGGACCGGGACCTGGGCTGGTTGGGGCGCCCAGAGCCGGCCCTCAGGGGTCCACTGGAGTGGGCACCACGGGTCGGCTGGCCCTCGCTGCTGCTGCGTCCATCCAGGCCCACGGAGGGTTTTCGTTTCTTTTCTAAAGTCTCGCCGTCCTCGTCCCCAGGCTCGTAGTTTCCTGCGGGGGAAGCATGTGGTCTGCAGGTGTTCTAGAACATTCCCCACTGAGTCCCATCCCGCAAGCTCGCCAGGAACCTTTAGGCCAACCCCACCTGTCTCTCCTCCTTCCTGGTCCCCCAAACTCACCAGTAAAGAGAGGCTGCACCCATCAGGGCCCTGCGATGCGGATGCCAGGGTCCCCAAACCCCCCCTGGCCTCTGAGATTCCCCTTCCTGCCAAGCCCTGTCACCTGCTGCTGCCTTTAGGGCCGGGCAGAGCTTACCTGGCTGAGCTTGGCAGCTGTCTCCGGAACTGGCTTTCCGCTTCCTGGAGCGCCCCTCATCTGAGCTGGACTCAGATTCTGGGAATAAGATGAGAGTTTGAGTGACAGCCCCAAATGGACACCCTGCAAACACTCGTCTAGCTTGTATGGAAAAAGCTGGGGTTACAGCCAAGATTGCCGTCTCTGGCTCCCCGGAATCTGCTCTGCAAGGCCCTGGCTACCAAAGAGCCCCCTGCCGGCCCCTGGACGTGTGAGCTCCTCCCCTCCCCTCCTCACTTAGGGACAAAAGTATATATATATATACATATATGATTATTGAGAGAGGGTGAGTGTCCTTCCCAGAGACCGCACCCTCTCCCTCCCTGTGGTGGGGCCCGGCAGCACTGCAACCCCTTCTTCCTCCTGTCTCCGTTCCATCAGGGTTTGGGGCAACATAGGCCTGCAGCGTGGTTTTCAAGCCGCTGGGGCTGCAGTTCCCACTGCGGTCAGCCATGTGGGATGGTCTCCGTCCACACAGCGCTTCACCCTGCCCTGCGCGGGTCTGGAGAGTCAGAGCTACCTGATTGACTGATGCTGTGTCTGGCGGTGAGCTCGCTTTCCTGGGAACTCTTTTCCTCGTCTGGACTGAGTTCTGGTTCTAGAGCAAAAGAGGCTGTAGGTGACCACCCTCTCCCCAGGCACATGGAGCCTCCCGGTCTGTCCTGAGCCACGTTGTGGGTCATCCTCTCCAGCGACTGTACAACCAGCGTTAACAGCAAACTGCAGTACGGCTGCAGCATGTCATCGCGGCCTTTCTCAAAGCCCCAAAGGTCCCTTTTGGTCCTTAATCTAAGGATACAGTCCTAGCAAGGACACACAGCTCAGTGTCCGATTCTGCCCCTCCTGCCAGCCTCGTATGAAGAGCCCAAGTCCCTGCGGCTCCTCCTGCTGTGACTCACCTGAACCAGAAGAAATCTCTTCGTCCAATGGTTTCTCCTCGTTGCCTGAGCCACTTTCTTCAAGGACGACCTGTGGGAGAGGGGGCTGGTCAGTGGGGCCTTGGCTGGAGGTGCAGTGGGAGTCTGGGTCTTGGGTTCCCAGTCCCATGGTAAGGCTCGTGCAGAGGCCCTCTCCTGCACACGTCCTGGGGCAGAGCGGGTTGGCCTGCTTTTAATGAGCTGCTCAGCAGGGTGTGGCTTGCTCCTATTGGCTGACAAGATCTGTTTTTCCGTCATGTGATTGCATTGACCTGATTATGTCAGCATTTAACCTAATCAGCCTCCGAGTCCCGAGTCCCGAGTCCCGAGGCAGCAAGTCCAGCTGGGGGTGGAGCATCGCAGCATCTCAGCCTTACCCTCCCTCAGGCATCTCGGAAGCCCCACGTGCTGCGTAGTTGTTGAGCACCCACAACCTGCGCCGAGGACAGCTGAGTCACTATCGTTACCCTTTGTTCCTGGGCCCTTTTCCCCTGGTCCCGGTTTAAAATGGGTTGTGATGGGGGCTGGCAGGTGGCATGGAGGTTAAGGGCGCTGGACTCCCACACGACCAAGCACTGTTCAAGTCCCGAATCTGCCAGCTTGCTTTCTCATTTTCTCACTCTTGCTCTTTCTCTCTCTCACTCTGTTCCTCTCTGGACAAATTTAAATAAATAAATAAATAGTTAAATTAAAAAAACGGGTTGTGACTGTGAGCGTTGAAAATTGGAATAATCATCCTTTTGCAGGTCCTCATTGGAATCATGGGGACTTTATTCTTTCATGTCACTCCCTTCTCCTTGACTTCAGTGGATGCAGGTCAGGGCGTGCAGATCTGATTCTCGGCCACCTAACTGTAGCCAACTTCTTGGCCGTCCTCTCTTGAGGAATCCCAGGGCCATGGCAGCATTTGAGTCCAGACGTGTCCTCAATGATTTGGGCCATAATCCTGTCTTCTATGTTCACAGGGTGGGCAGGGGTGTATCTGTTGACAGCACCTGCCTCTTGAGTGTCTTCCAGGCCATCACCACCAGCCGTGGCTCAGTGGTCAGAATATAAAGTCAAAGCTCCCCAACATGGGGGCCCTTCCACCATCCTCCGCTGGGCCCCGCCTTGCTGGTAAACCTCGCCACACCCATGACTGTGCTTGGCAAATGGAGAAACACGAGAATGCAAAGAGAAGAGGTATTGCACGCTGTTCCTCTTTCTTTCAGGATAACTGTGAACCCCCTGTCTGCAGCTTTGATCTCCACCCCGAGGCCGTGTGCGTGGGGCTCCTGCTCTGGGCCAGGGCTCCCTGGTTCTCACCCTGCGCAGGCACAAGCAGCGGGTCCGACACATCCACATGCCCATCTTTCCCCCAGGGCTTCTCCTGTGACCCAAGTTCTCCACAGCATCCTTGTCCCCTTGAGCACATTTGTTTATTTGTATACCCTGTCTTTCTTTTTTTCCACTTAAATAATAATTTTATTTATTTATTTATTTATTTATTTTGGAGAGGTTTTTGCTATAGGACGTATGCGCTCACCAGAAAGACAGAGAGAGACAGAGAGACAGAAAGTCCCCAGGGGGGATGGCCATGCCGCAATCCCTTCTCCTCCATTCTCCTCTCAGGATCTTGGGCACACACGCACATGCACCTGGAGTGAGTTTAAGCCACCGGATCCTGAACTTGAACCGCAGTCGACTACATAGGAGTCCAGCAACACAGCCACTACACTCACTGCTGCAGTATATGTTAATTTTTAACCTAGGTATTATAGCATGCTTTTAAAAAGTTTTTTAGAGGATTATTTAATTTTATTTTTTTTAAGAGAGATTTTTGCTATAGGGTGTGTGTGCTCACCAGAGACAGGGAGAGACAGAAAGACAGAGATACAGAAAGTGACATATCACCCCCCAGGTGGAACGCCCATGCCACAATCCCTTCTCCTCCATTCTCTTGGGATTTGGGGCACACATGCATATGTGCCCACTGTGAATTTTAAGCTGTTAGGTTCAGGACTCAAACCAAGGTTGACTATGTGGGAGTTCAAAAATGTAATCATTATGCTATCTGCTTGTGCCTATTATTATTATTTTAAAATTTGCTACAGGGCATTCACACTCACCAGAGATAGAAAGAGAGGGAGAGAAAGTGAGAAAGCAAGCTGCCAGGTCTGGGACTTGAACCGTGGTTAGCCATGTGGGAGTCCAGTTCCTTAACCACCACACCACCTGCTGGCCTGACATACTTTTAAAACTATTGCAGGTTACAGTGCAAAGATATTTGATACCTTTAACTTCTACCTTGACAATATTTTTTGTTTGTTTTTGAGAGAGATTTTTGCTATAGGGCACGTGCACTAGCCAGAGAGGAAGGGAGAAATAACCCTCTGCAGGGAGGATGGCCACGCCGCAATCCCTTCTCCTCCATTCTCCTCTCAGGATCTTGGGCACGCATGCGCATGCGCCCGGCGTGAGTTTAAGCCACCGGGTCCCGGACTTGAAATGCAGGCGACTACGTGAGAGTCCAGTGATGTAACCATTACGCCAGCTTCTGGTCCTAACACTAGGACACCTTTAAAACTCTAATCTATGTACCCTTTCCCACCCAACTTTTTACATTGGCAATGGTATGTAAACATAATTTTTAAAGACACACACGCACTGATCTTAAGTGCACAAAACTATAAAACAGCACAGACGGAGCACATGTCTGTATCCATCTTCTCGTTCATAACCAAGATGATCGGTTCACAACTGCCTGTGCGCACCTTCCCAGTTATTGCCCAGACGTACACACTGACCTAACATCTGACACAGCACATCACTTTCGCCTGTCTGGTAGCGTGTGTGTTGTTGGAGGTAGGGTGGGGAGGAGGGACCCGAGAAAATAAGAGGAGGCTTGTATACAAAGCCGCAAGAAGCCAGATGGTCCACATCTACAGTCGGTAACACCAAGAACAACTGGCTTTGCATTTTGCTTCTCCCTTCCCCTTCTACCCTATAAAAGAGTACACCTGGGCAGCTCAGGGCCACAGCTGTGTCCAAGAGAGGAGTCTGGACTGCCCAATCCCCACTTTCCTTTACTTGTGTGTCTGTGTGTATTTATTTCCAGTCCACTATCGCTCCCCTTCAGGTTCACACCACTCTGTGCGGGCTGCAACAATTATTATTATTTTAAATTTGCTATAGGGCATATGAACTCACCATAGAGAGACAAAAAGATGAAAAGCGAGAAAGCAAGCAACTGGGTCCAGGACTTGAACCTTGGTTGGCCATGTGGGAGTCCAGCGCTTTAACCACTATACCACTGCTGGCCCCCACTATGCCTTTTTATTTGAGGGACTTAAGCATCCTCAGGTTTTGGTATCCACAGTGGGTCTTGGAACCAATCTCCATAGATACTGAGGGATGACTATAGTGTGTTAGTTTATCCATATTATTAAATATTTTCGTGGATCATTACTAGCATTGGTTCCATTTTATGAATTCTAACAATTTTTTTGAGAGATTTTTGCTATGGGGTACATGCACTTGTTGGAGAGACAGCGAGAAAAAGACAGAAAGTGAGAAATCCCCTCCCCAGGAGGGCTGGCCATGCTACAATCGCTTCTTCATTCTCCTCCTGAGAGTTTGGGCGTACATGCTCATGTGCCTGGCATGAGTTTGAAGCCGATCAGTTCTGGGACTTGAACTGTGCTTGGCCATGTAGGAGTCCAGCACCTTAGCTATTATGCCACCTCCTGGCCCTGAATTCTAACAACTTAACAGGATTCCATCATGTGAATACCTAACAATTTATTAATTTCACCCTTGATGAATATGTGGTTAGTTTTTAGGTTAGGTTATTATGAACAGTACTGCTGTATACATTTTTCCCCCTTTTTAAGTCCTTTTTAAAAATTTTATTTATTTATTTCATTCCATTTGTTATTATTATTTTTTCATTTGACCATAGAGAGACAGAGAGAGAGAGAGAGAAAGGGAAAGTGAGAAAGCAAGCCACCAGATCCGGGACTTGAACTGTGGATGGCCAGGTGGGAATCCAGTTCCTTAACCACCACGCCACCTGCTGGTCCTTGCTGTATACATTTTAGAACCTGTGTTTTTGTGAAACGTGTACAAATTTCTGTTGCGTATATACACAGCAGTGGATTTTTATGGATCACAGGTTTACATCTGTTCAGCCTCAGTGAATACTTTCACTATTTTCCATGATATTTATACCAATTTTCACCACTGTCAGCATTTGCATGTGATACTGTATTTATCCACGTTCTTCAAGATGATGTGCATGGTCATCCATGTGGGAGTCCAGTGCCCCAACTACTACAATGCCAGCTGCTGGTCCCACCACTCAACTTTTGTTAAAAGACTCATAGGGGCTGGCAGGTGGCATGGTGGTTTAGGGTACTAGACAGCTGGGCTGACCACGTGGGAGTTGGAGTCCCAGACCCGGTACCTTACTTTCTCTTACTTTCTCTCTCTCCCTCCCTGATCAAATAAAAATAAAAATAAATAAAGTTAAATAAAATAATTCTTTAAGGCCCATAAAGACCTTGTGACTATCCAGTCTGACATCCTCATTTTAGTATAAGCCAGCTTGGACTCCACAGCTAACAAGATAGGAAGACCTCCAGAAGACGTGCTTGTCAAATAGAAACGACGAGAATGAGTCTTGATTGGCCTCAGAAACAGCTCAGCTTTGCAAGAGTAAGTTGTATCTGCGGGCAGAAGCAAGTCCTCTGATGCTTGACGCCTTCGAGTCTCCAAGATTCCCCTAAATGTCTGGTGCTGGTTCACTGATGGTTCAGCTAGGCTGCCAACCAATGGTGACCACTGGACTTGGGTGGGTGCTTAACTTTAGTGACGGCCATGGAGGACTGGAAGCAGACCTGCTTGCTTTTCTGAGTTCAGAGCCCAGGCTGTCACCCTACTGCCCATATTAGAGCTGTCTGACCTGCTACCTCAGGAACTACAGGATGGCAGATTAAGAGCACTCACCTTGGGGTTTGTAAACTGCAGAAACTAACCTGAGTTGCTAATCTAATGTCTGGACCACTCATTGAGAAGCCCAGGATAGAGCCTGTTTTCTCAAGGAACTGATGGATCACGTGGCTGATCAAGCTTATTTCTGCCGCAGACTTC